TTTCCACATCAATTGAAAGTGGAATTGCCATGAATTGTTCATTCTGAGTGCCATCCTTCTTTTAACATAAACAGTTATAATGCAAATCAAGGCTAAATCACGTGTTATGACTCCATAAATAACCAAAATAGAACTAAAATCTCAGTGTCAGGGACATTTCAGAAAAATAAAAGCAAAATAGTGCAACACTCTGATGGCAGGCTGGGCGTTTAATGTTTAATGATAAAACACGTAAAAAAAAAACTTCTAACTAAAAAAATATAAATGACACTTCCCCATTGTATATGTCCACCTTAAAGGAGAAATCCAGCGAGTTTTCACGTAGATCTGTTTCTCGGTATTAAAAAAAAAAAAAAACCCTGAAAACAATTGGTTTTACCTAGCTCGAGTTGTTACAGCCAGTATCTACGGTGCTACACTCTAGGGGCATGTTCATGAGCCTCCATCATGTTCATACACCGTGTAACGCTGTAGCTGCCAGGCTGCGTTAGCTGCTGGCCGTAGCAACTCAAGCTAGATAAAACCGTTTTTTTTCGGGGGTGGGGACCTGTATAGGTCTGTGCGCCCCTCCATGGATATGCCTCCCCAGACCATCACTGACTCACCTCAAAACCGATCACACTGAACGATGTTACAGCCAGCATAACGTTCTCCAGGGCTTCTCCAGACCCTTTCATGTCTGTCACATGTGCTCAGGGTGAACCTGCTCTTATCTGTGAGAAGCACGGCGCCAGTGGCGGAGTTGCCAATTCCTGTGTTCTGTGGCAAATGCCAATCGAGCTCCACGGTGCTCGATTGGCACAGAGAACCGAGAGCACAGTGCCCACTAGAGGACGTCTGATTGTTTGGTCAGAGACATTCACACCAGTGGCCTGCGGAAGGTCATTTTGTAGGGCTCTGGCAGTGCCCCTCCTGTTCCTCCTTGCACAAAGAAGCAGATACCGGTCCTGCTGATGGGTTGTATACCTTCTACGGCCCTGTCCAGCTCTCCTGGAGTCTCCTCTATGCTCGTGAGATTGTGCTGGGAGACACAGCAAACCTTCTGGTAGTGGCATGTACTGATGTGCCATCCTGGAGGAGTTGGACTGCCTGTGTAACCTCTGTAGGGTCCAGGTAGCGCCTAATGCTAAAAGTAGTGACAGTCACCCTAGCCAAATGCAAAACTTTTGAAAAAGAGTCCAAAAAGATGAGGAGGGGAAAAAA